CCGCATCAATTTAGAGTACCAGAATGTCCTCTTTTTATTCAAAATGTTGAATCGTAAACAAATTTCAGTAGTTTTGATATCTCAAGCTGACTTGTATAACAACATTATTTGACCGCATCACCCAAAACTGACCATATTTGCATTTTATCATGCAAATCTATATAGCCACATAGTTAATGAGTTATATTCTGATGTCAGGATGAACTGTATAATACAAATGACAGCAATATTGGAACAAAATGACTAGAAAAATTTTATTTGCATCAACTTAGAGTGCCAGCATGTCCTCTTTTTATTCAAAATATTTAATCGTAAACAAATTTCAGTAGTTTTGATATCTTAGACTGACTTGTATAACAAAATTATTTATCCGCATCAACCAATATCGACCATATTTGTACTTATGTAAATTTTATAGTCGCATAGTAAATCAGTAATAGTTTTATGTAAGGATGGATTGTAACATACAAATGATAGCAATATTGGAACACAATGATTACAAAACTTTGTTCGCATCAATTTAGAGTGCCAGTATGTCCTCTTTTTATTCAAAATGTTGAATCATTAACAAATTACAGTAGTTTTGATACCTAAGGATGCCTCGTATAACAGATTTTTTGACTATTAACCAAAACCGACCATATTTGCTCTTTATTCTGTACATCTATATAGCTGCATAGTAAATCAGTAATATTTTTTTGTCAGAAGGGATTACATTATACAATTCATAGCAATATTGGAACACAATGACTACAAAAAAAAATAAATATCTGCATCAATTTAGAGTACCAGCATGTCCACTCTTTATTCAAAATATTGAATCGTAAACAAATGTCAGTAGTTTTGATACCTCAGGATGACTTTCATGACTTGTATCAAAAAATTATTTGTCCGCATCAAACAAAACTTACCATATTTGCACTTTATCATGTAAGTATATATGTCCTCATCATAAATCAATAATATTTCTATGTCAGGACGGATTGCATAATAAAGATGACAGCAATATTGGAACACAATTACTACAAAATTTTGTCCACATCAATTTAGAGTGCCATAATTTCCGCTCTGTATCCATAATAATAAACCGTCACTAAAGTCAGTACTTCGTGATGGTTTGTATTTTAAACAAAACTATTTAACGACATCATCCAACACTCACATGACTGATTCATATACTTTATAATGAAAAGTTCTCTTCTTGGAATAGTATACTGTTAATATATTATGTAGGTTGATTGATATTGTTTGTAACCTAGCGTCCAGGGGGAAATATTTCATTCATGTTCAGATCAAGTATATTTTCGGACGTCCCAGATATCATGTATAATCGTTATGGATAACTCTGTCTAAATTGACGAGATTGTTCAAATGTACATACTTATACAACCCTTTATTTATATCCCTATATATACACTGTACAATTTTCGTTTGTACATTTGGCAAAACCGAATCTTAAATCATGTAAATCCAAGACAAACAAAGTGAATTACGATTAAAGATCCATGTATTAAATGCATACAGTTATATTTAGAAAGAGACTGTTAAAAATGGGGAACGAAGCAACGTAAACCATGATGTTTATATCCCATCATATAAACATATTTTTCCGATGTGTTGGATGACCTTTCTATCCGCCTCGATATTTGTACATGTAACTTTTGAAAAGAAAATAAAGAAAATCTGCTACTCAGTTAAGTTATTGGAACTAATTTTTTGTAATTAATAAAATTTAATATTTCGAATTAAAAGTGTTTTTGAATTGTTCTGGTTTGAAACACACATACGTAAAATATTTAGACAAAAGACGTTAAAATAAAATAAAAGTACAAATGAACATGAAGTTTATTTCTTGATTTACACAATCAGTTAACGTGAAAAGTAAACGCGCGTTTACTTTCAAGTGCACGTAAAGATATACTTGTGAAATCTGTAGTAAAGTAGTAAACGCCCGTTTACTTTTAAGTGCACGTAAAAAAAACTTTTGAAATCTGAAGTGAACGCCCGTTTACTACTGACTAAACGGACGCAGAGTAAATGCCCGTTTACTCGGGTAGACATTAGAAATTCCATTTTGACCGCGTTAACGTTATTTTTTGTAAATGCGCGTTTACTAGGCGTTTTCTAGTAAACGCGAGAATTGAAGATAACTAACGACATATGTGCACGCGGCGTTAACCTGCGTTTACTTTATGTAATGCTTGGTCTGCACCCAACTGTATATAGATTCACTGTTAATTAGAAATAAAAAAAAAATTGATACAAATTTCCTATATGCTTGTATACAGAAACTTTGAAAAACCGTAAAATTAAGTATCCTTAAGACTACAACTTTTCTTGATCATCAGTACACTTTAATGATCAATATAGGAATATTTTGTTGTCTTAGATTGTGAATAACCAGTAATCAGTCCAGATTTTTACTGAAAAATATCAAATTTTATACAAATCTATGAATGCCAAAAAAGACCATGCTTTCCAGAAAGATTTTCATGAATTTGTAATCTTCTGGTTGCAGTTAGAAACAGTACATGTAGATGCTTTTGATGAATGATTCCTTTTATCACATGATCTTATGACATGACCTTGTTACATGATATGTTATCATTCATCATTGATTTCATATATGTTCCACTGCTATGCTCATTTCATATATTTTAAGTGTCATCATGGTGCTGGAATTTAAATTTCTTAAAAGTATCTGGTCTTACCAAGACAGATATTAAACCTACAATGTCCTTCACTAATTCAAGGCGGGAACAATGCCAGATGACCAGTAGGAGGGTAAAACAATGAAAGAAGGATTTATCGCTTAGCATTCTTTTCGAAATGTTTTGATGAAGGGATCTGTCTGTTTTACAAATTAATTTAAATTTGATCAGTAACTGTTGTCAAGTTTAACATTGTATTGTCTTGTTTTACCTCACAAAATACCTGTGAACCTATGAAAATGAAAATGCATGACACGCATTGCAGAATTAAATCTCAGGTCATAACGCGTACAAACTTTTTTTTACGAACACAACAAGCAACATGTCACGGCCATAAACAGTATTTGTTGTAATGGCAATTTTTTTCGGGAATAGGTTGAATTTGTACATACAAACGTTTTGCTTGTAATTTAAAACCAATTAATGCATAATGGTTTTTTTTTCTAAGTTTATTTCATTAGTAAGCTAGATCCGTTTAGCAACCCACTGCTTTTAAATTTGAATTTTGTTTTCAAATCCCTTTATTTTGTTGCCTTATTTGTTTGACAAATTTTTGTATTTTTGTTATCAATACCCAATTCATTTGTTTTGTTTTGTTTATAGTTGCTGTCAAAACACAGTGTCTTTCATTGCATTAGCTTGCATTTTTTGAATACATTTCCTACTTTTGTTGTATGCTCTAAAATATCCATTATCAACCTCTCTCTTTTCCTTTCTCTCTCTCCAGTTTTGTTTTAATATCCTTTTTGATTTGATATAGTTTATTATACATTTTCTGTATTACAATTAGTTTGAAGACATATGCATCAGTTGAACCACATGTACTTGTACTGAAGCAATAATTTCATTTTGTATGTTCATTGTATGTACAATGTATTGATGGCCTGATAAAAATGAATTATAAATTAGAGTTATTTCCATTTGTCCCAACATTTTTGTTTTGGGCCAGATTTAGCTGCAGGAGTGTGAATGTTTTATCCACATGTAATATTTTGAAGCAGTTTAGTTTAATTTTAAATTCATGTAAATTGCATTCTTTTCTCCTCCCCCGTGGATTTATAGAAATTAAAACTTATTTGAGAAGTACTCCCTCTACATTGTCCATTTTCATGTAATTGGTATGTAGTAATTATATTTCAAAACTATTTTGCTATATTACGAGAAAAAAATATTCTGCATGAAAAGAAAATTGAAATTCAATTTTATAATATTAAATCACAAAATATAACATGAAATATAAATATAGCTTTTATTAGAATTAAATAAAAGTTATTGCTATAAAAGCATGTATTATAGTATTATTACAAATCTAAGTTATTTTAGGAACAATGTATAACTATATATATAAGTTAGCCTTGGGTATTATTCTAATATTTGTTTTTTTTCACTGACAGTAAAATTCAATAAACAAATTTAATGCTTTTGTATATGTATTGTTTATTGATAATTATTATATGTTTTTGCTTTTAGTTACTTTTACAAAACATGTATGGGGAAATTAGAAAAGTGTTTAAAAGGGTTATTTTGATATAAGGAATAAGCAAGTTCAAATCGTGTGTGTTCGTTCCGAAAAGATTAGTATTCATCATGTTTAATGCAATGGGCAAATGTATTGTATTGGCATTAATGTTGAGAAAATTTACTCGGATTTGCTGATTATCAATTCGTGTCTCACTCAGAACATTAAAAACTTTACTTCATTTGGGTTATTTAAAGAAAGAAAAAAAGAAAAAAAGAATCATTCTATTCTAAATTCCTAATTATCAGGTGATTAAGGGAAAAGAACTGGCAGTTTGGTTAAGAAAGGGGTGGGGCAAGAATTAGGGTAAAGGAATTTGGACTGTCAATATGATTTGAAAGAGGAGAGACGAGGGAGGTAGAGAGAAATGAAGAAGGGATTCATAATTACTCATAACACCCTTTTGTAACCATTTATTTGTACAGGAAAACAATTTTATGTATTTTTTGTTTGAGTATCCAATCACATGTATTTAAATGTTTCTCACTTATACAGTGAAATCTGTCCAAACCGAATCTTTCATGAACGGAAAACCTGTCTAAACCAAACAGGCTCTTAAGTCCAGTCATATCAAACTTTATGAAATGTTAACCTGATTAAACCGAACATCTGCCAAAACCGAACAAAATCTTTGGTCCCGACGAGGTTCGGTTTAGACAGGTTTCACTATAGTAACAAGTTCTCAGTGGTTATGGTAGATATATTGTAACTTGATGTTATAACTTAGATTTTACAATGATGTCAAAGGTCACATGTACTTTTATCCATAGGATGGTTACCTGTGGTTCCATATTGATGAAGGAAATGGCCGTATCCAGGAATCCAAGCTAACATCCAGGAAAATCAAAGAATTGAATGACTGGGAATGGCATACCTTTAGAGTGGACAGGGATTTTAAATTGGTACTCCATTGTAAGGGGGGAAATTAGCTTGTGTCGAAAACTACTTAATTATTTCATTTCTAACCGGGGAGAGGGGGGACAGGCCCATAGCAAAGAATTTCCAAGAGGGTTTGATACAATCATGCTCAACTTTAGCAGTTACAGTTCAAACAGAACGTCGACTTTAACAGTGCTTATTTGTTTTCAAAGGGGTGGATGTTAGTACGAACCTCTCGAACCCTCCTGGCCACGGATGTGGGAGAGAATTTTGACTGTTAGACATGTTAGACGTGGTTATTTTGTATAGTAACACTATCAGTTTTAGAAGTTGTTCTTAATATTTCATATATATGTTGTCTCAAAAATTTTGACATTTAGTCTTTCTTTTTTAACCGGATTTTCGAAGTAAAAATCGGTTATTGATTTGTAGACATACGGCAGGCAGGCGGCCGGGCGGGCAGGCGGGCTTCGTCGGCTGCCTAACAGTGTCTCCACAATAACATGGAAACCCTTTGACGACAATTTTTCAAATTTAGATATGTTGTGTCCTGCATCTATAAGAAGGTCAAGTTCAATTTTCAACATTTTAGCTCTTCTCATTGTTGAGTTATCACCCTTTTTGATATCCAAAAGTGGTATTTATTATGTGATTGAGTTATTTCTCTTTGTTCAGAAATGGTTAATTATATACATAAAGTTTGATTACACTAAGCCATATGGTTAATGTCTTATCTGACAATTATAGTTAGAGTGACAGATTTATTTGAAAATTTTCTGTTTTCTAAGTTTTGATGATTAAAAGCTATATAGGAGTTGTACAAATATAGTTAGAAATTTACTGTTCATTATTAGACATTTTGAAGATAATAACATATAAGTTTTATTTTTCTTTTCTATGGCAAATTGTATGAAGAATTTTGTGGTAGGTGTGTTTGTTTTTCTGTATAAATCAATTTTCTGAGTGCTATATATAAATTTTTTGTTGTTGTGTGTGTTAATTTTAAGTTTTACTTTATCCTGTTTTGGGTTCAAGATTTGCAAATTCATTAGATACTTATAAATTTTTATAAGTTAAAAAGTTAAAGTTTAGATAAGTTGCATATCTATTATAGTTTGCTACAAACAAAAGAGATATATTGGAAACTACCAACTATATATATAAAGTTTGATTACACTAAGTGTTTAAAAATGTTTTTCGCCTTTTATCTAGACAACACACACCATCTGTTAATTGTCAATCATTGGAGTGACAGATTTATTTGAAAACTATTAATTATATTTGATTATAGTTTAAAAGTAAATCTAACATCATATCTAATTACATCATATCTACTTTAATAGTCAAGGGTTAAACATATCTAATTTTAGATTTACAGTATTTTCCTTTGAAAAGAAAAGGTTTAACAAAGAAGTATTTCATCAAAAAATGAATTCTTGGGGTTCTTTGATATGCTGATTCTTGCAATGTACTTAGATTTTGGACATTGGACCATATTAAATAGGTAAATGTCCAATTTGAGATTTTTCAGTTCTTTGACCACATTTATTTTGTGTCACAAACCCATGCTGTAACAAATATTCAATAACAATCCAAATTAAGAGCTGTTTAAAGCTTAAATGATGTGTCCATACTTGCTCAACTGTTCAGGGTTCGACCTCTGCAAGAAAATCCGGTTTGCTGTCTCTATGACAGCCTCTAGTTTACTGGCAGTAATAATTTCACGACTTTTCTCCTCTTCAACCAAATTTTGAACGCCCATATACAGTACATATTATGATATACCGTTGTCTGTCAACATTTCAGCAATAACTCAAAAACATGTAAACCAATTTTCATGAAACTTCGGTGAACTCTATATCTATTGATGTAAGCTCCCTTTCGTTTTTATAATTTTTAGATTTTATGTTTCCCAATTGAAGGATTTTATTCGGGTGCAGGTCTTTCGTAACCTGGTCGTTTCGTAACTAGTCGATTCGTAACTAACTTTTTCGTTTTGTAACTGAGACGTTTCGTAACATTATAACACTATATAATAATATGAGTTGTAGGTTATGGAAAAAAAGTTTTTTTGATTAAAAATAATAAAATTGAAGACTTATTGGTATGTATATCTATATTTGTTTATCAAATAATTGATTGTACATAATTTAACACTTTACAAGTACAGATACTTTTGCACACATACATACAGAATTTAAATTTTCTGTATGAAAACAAAGTCTGGTTTAAATTTCTCCATTATGTGGATATCAAAATATCTCAATGACTACTTTTCTCCCTCCTACCCCGGAAAGCTTTGTTTGGAAAGAACTTGATAAGTCGGATTGCGTTCTAAACATCCAGTTTTCCAATCTGCAGATGTAGAATTAGAAAGAAAAAAAATTTTCAGGTCGTGTACCATTTTTAATCCTTTATTCCAGATACAAAACTAGTTAATTAATTTATATATGAATAAATATTTCCATGAACTGTTTAATTTAAACTAATAGAGACACACTTTATAACCATATAACACGGACGATAACTCAAAATTGCTTTGAGCAGTTTTCATGAATTTTGGTGACTGAATTATATCTATTATAATAAGCTCCCTTTAAGTTTTTTTATGAATTACTTTTATGACATTGAGAAGTGATGGAACTTTATTTGTTGAAAAAATGACAGGCGTATCATGTGCTCATGGTGCAGCGCTTTATTAAAGCAAACCTCTAATCTTTTTATGTAATTCTAAGGCTATCTGGTTCTCCCCAAGTAATGCCATGAAATATTTGCCAATGGAAAATCAACTAACTATCATTCAATCTATCAGATTTTTTTCATCCTTTATTTCATTCATATACATGTTCAGTTATCTTTCATATTTGTGATAAAAGGCAAAAACACAAAATTATAATAAAATAATGTCATTTAAGGGCAATAACTCCTGGATAAATCATTAGATGGTTTCAGTTTTTTCAGCATTTTGTAGATTTATGATTAATTGTTCTTGCTGTTTACAATTTCTATGCTTTTCAAGATCATTGTCGTTTTTCTTTTGTTTTAATTCAAATGCACAAATTTTATAATGTTATTTTTTATTTTTCAGTTGAAATTCTACATTGACGAGGAATATATCGTAACTTTACTTACTGAAAGAGAAATTCAGCTGATTGGACGAGGAGATGTCTACCTCGGTGGTACATCAAAAGATTATACTGATGATGTTATTACTCAGGGCTATCGTGGTGGAATAACAAAGGTAAGTCCTTTGAAAAGTTACCACATGTATTTCTTAAGAGGGGAGGAAGATAGCCAAAGGGACATTCAAACTCATAAAACATAAACAAACTGACAATGGTGTTCATAGGTTTTTCTGGTTTCTTGTTTTTTATTTAGATTAGACCATTAGTTTTCCCATTTGAATTGTTTTACACTAGTAATTGTGGGGCCCTTTATAGGTTGCTGTTAGGTGTGAGCCAAGGCTCCGTGTTGAAGGCCATAATTTCACCTATAGTTGTTAACTTTTTATACATTGTAACTTGGATGGATAGTTGTCTCATTGGCACTCATACAACATCTTTTTTATATTGACAATGTCATGGCAGTAAAAAAGAAAAGAAAAACAACAGTACATGGTCTAGATTCTATGGTAAAAGGTCTTAAAACTTTCGATTCTGCTTTTTAGATGTGCTTTCCTTTGAAGACCATGAATACAGTAGTTAGGAGTTAACTGTTTTGTATGTTAAGCTCCGATGGCATCAATTGGTGATTTGATGGTTGCAAATTAAGTTTACTGGCGACGCCTTATCAGAGCCAGTAAAAAGGTATTTGCGACCATAAAATCACCAATTAATGTTGTCGGAGCTTTAAATACAATAATGTTATCTCCTTTCTAATGAAACTGACAGAAAACAACGTCAAATCATACATTTAAAATCTGCCATGTGTCGTTTTACGTTTGCGCGTACATTTTCATAGCATCAACTGTGAATTGATGCCATGAACATTTGTGACGTTATCCAATCAAAATAAACGTTACGAATAATGTTGCATTAGAAATAATCATTGATGAGATGTTCTTAAAAATACTTTTTTTTTAATTAAATAACCTAAATTTGGTAAATTGTTTGGTGAAATTATGAATATTTCTATATAAATTAGCCCCTATATTTGTCCTCTCGTATTTAAAATATTTAATAGAAGATAATATATAAATAGTACATATAATCCAATTAATACTTTTCAGATATTATACGTGAAGAATTTACCAAATTATCTTCTCCGTGTCAGCTTAATGCAGTATATTACCAAAATGCTTAAAGGGAATGGAATTAGTAGTGGTCTTGATATCATAACCCCAGGACAAGCAATTACACCAAGACCAAGACCAAGACCAAGACCAAGACATACACAGAGGCCATATACACCAAGACCGATCAGACCAACCAGCATCGGCACTTAGAGTTAACCATCGGGAGACGTTTACCACCAAGGGTCGGTTTTTAGACACGCCCTGTGCAACTATGCACGGCTAAATTTGGAGCTCTTTAGTATGAAGATAAGAAAAGTATACAGAATTGAGGGACTTGTTCTTGGTAAACAGCCGTAACCCGTAAATAAACTGGACCCCTGTTGTGTTCATTTATCGCTACACTACGATGGAATGGCAGAACAGTTTAATCCGTAAACAGATAAATAGCTGATGTTAACTATTGTTTATACAAGTAATAGCTTTTCCAATAATCATAAGCTTGCCGTTTTATAGCTAATGTTGAAAATTGATTTTGTTTTATTTGTAGTATTATTCATTCAAAATATTACTCATTTTATATGAACATCAACTGAACAAACATAATGAAAGCTTCTCTCTACAAATTGTATTGGGGTAAAAAGAAGTGGAACATTGGAAAGGCCAATATGGTATTTCTAATAGGTTTACAATTTTCCTTTTGTGCGTGACAAATTTTACCTTGAAAGAGCTTAAATTCTAAGGTCTTCTAAGTCACTTGCGTTTTGCATGTACTAATTTCGTTAAGCTTGTGTTCTGAATAAGACATGTCATTTATTTACTCTCTGTTTATCTGTTTGTGCTTGAGAAGAAAAGATGTGATAAATATCTTTCATTAATTGTCCCTTGAGATAAATAAACCTTAAACGTTTAAGAGTCTGCTGAATCTTTTTTTTTATAACGGAACTAATTGTCCCTTTATCAGACTTGGGCGGGTTCAGTATTAGTTTGTAAGGGTAAATAGTTTCTGTGAAGAAAAAAAAATTATAGAGTATATTACTTCAGTAAAGTCGGTTTTTGCTTTTGTAGACGAAACGCGCGTCTGGCGGAAATATAAAATTTTATTACTGGTATCTATGATGAGTTTATTTATATACATGTTACATCATGAGTTTTTCTTGTTAGTTTTTGTTTTTTACCTTTGTATCAATCTGAAGAGTCAACCCCTTTTGAACTTTTTTTTTCAATAAGTTCTTACATAATAGAAAGAAATGATAAGCAGTATGACTTTCCATTCATGACACAAAGTTAGTTCATGCACATCAAAAACACAAAAACAAAGGAACAGCGCTTTTATTGATGTAAGATCCTTTTTTTACACCAAAGTCCCAGATTGGGCGCCCGAAAACATGGTTACGTTTGTGCCACATTCTGTATCTATGTGCATGTCCCAAGTCAGGAGCCAGTAATAGTAGTTTGATGCTCTGTTACTTATTTGTTGTTCGTTCATTGATTTGTACACAAATTAGGCCGTTAGTTTTCTCGTTTGAATTATTTACTTTTGTCATTTCGGGGACTTGTATATATACTATGCGGTATGGGCTCTGCTCATTGTTGAAGGTCGTACGATGACGATAATTTCTGTCTCTCTTGTGGAGATTTTTTTCATTAACAATCATTTTACATCTTCTTCAGTATTTTAGATTCATCCCACCATGTAGAATGTTTGGCTGTGGCAAAATCATAAGCCCGGATTTCTTTCATATACTAGGTTTTCGTTTGTTGTAATGTATTATAATTGCTTTTTTAATTGTTTTGTATATAAATTAATGACACGTCGTTGGTTTTGTTTTTTTGGTTTATTTTTCAATTGCCATGTCGGATCCTTGTATGTCAATGGTGGTAAGCAGATGATCGAAACGTAAAGTTACGATTAGCCGAAAAATGGGAGACAACTCTGGAGGTCAGTTTTTCTTTTCCGATTTTCGTTCAGTAAAAGGTTTATTTGAGCCAAACCGCTTGTCTGATACATACTAATCGTCAGTGCATTGATATTGAAATAAAATTTGACACATAGAATTATTCAAATTTTCGTCATTTAAAATATTGAGCATGATGGTCGTAACTAAAACAACAAAAGTGTTCAGGATGATCGTAACGTAAATCTGTGATCGTCGTAACTCTTTATTGAATAGGTCCGAAAAAGGCAAGTCAAGAGTTTTAGACTTTTCTTTTTTTTTAATTTTTTTTTACATACAACGTATAATACAGCGGTCCGTGTACATGTTATGTTGGGAATTTTGATCAAATGTTTTGAATTTTAAAATTTTCACCAAATGATAAAAAATAAAAGGGTTGAAAAGAGGGGTACCTGTAATGTGCGAAACGGACAAAAAGTGGAACGAAATGAACAGTCACTGATACTTCAAATATAATGTATGAAATAAACAAAAATGCAAATAGTTGTAAGCGGTTAAATTCCATTACAAAATAAATATTTCTCAAAAGTGGAGAATTCAATTCAAAACAAGAAACACAGCTCTGGTTATGATCATTCTTAGTTAAGAATGAAAAAGCACGAAATGTATCAAATCATTTGTAACTACAAAATAAATGATTTAAAAAAAAACGTTTTTAACAAATTGGACACAACATGAAATAACAATATCTTGATTTTTTGTTTAAATTTTGCATCATTCTTTTGAAAAAAAGATAAAAACTATTTGAGGATGTACTTAGTTGAAATTAAAAAAAAACAATTAAAAATGTATACTATTAGTCGGAAGAGCATAAGTAAGAAATCAAAATAAGCTAAAACTATTGATAGGTTATGGAGGTCGTTATCGAGAACAGACCATACACGTGACATTGCGGGTCCGTACCTGTATTAAAGAACATACGCCCTGGATTTTTAGAATTCGTATTGTCATTTGGGAAAGTCATGCTGATTACTGTGGATTCATTATTATTCGTTGGTTACCAATTTTCGTGGGTTTCGTGGGTACAGGTGAACCACGAATTCATATGTTCAACGAAAATGTACGTTTTACTCAATCCACGAAAATTGATACCCACGAAAATAAATTAATCCACAGTATAAGGTGCACAGTTATTCCCTGTACAATGACGAAGTTCGGGTATGATTATTACCAATATGGTTATATATAGCAAATCCCGAATACACCTATTGGTACCATGCCAAATTGCCTCCGTTGAAATTATTCAAACATCCTATAGAGCAAATTATTTGGATGATTATTATCATTGCCGTGTTCTAAGCGACACGTACATGCAGGTCATAAATTAATTTGTTGAATGAAATCGAATCGTTAACTACTGATGTGTGCCACACTGATATCCGCTATTCACACTGAATTTATGAATTTAATCAAATACATATATGAGTAGCTTGGAGCCAGGATAATATTAAAAGGTAGAACTTTATGCTTCAACTCAGCGTGCTGGTCTTGTAAAAGCTGAAGATATTCATACAATATAAACATATAGCATAAACATTATTTTCATATATATGTGATAGTTGCCGCTGTACATTACGTTCTACCTTATAACATTATCCTGGCTACACGCTACTTATAGTTGATCTTAGTACTCTTAAATTCAGCGTGTAAAGCGTGTAGCAGTGTAAAATACATATCAACAACATCATACTTTCGAGGCTAACATAACGTTCATTGCAACATAAAATTGAGAATGGAAATGGGGACTGTGTCAAAGAGACAACAACCCGACCAAAGAGCAGACAACAGCCGAAGGTCACCAATGGATCTTCAATGCAACGAGAAACTCCCGCACCTGGAGGTGTGTTTCAGCTGGCCCCTAAACAAAAATGTATACTAGTTCAGTGATAATGGACGTCATACTAAACTCCGAAATATACACAGGAAACTAAAATTAAAAATCATACAAGACTAACAAAGGCCAGAGGCTCCTGACTTGGGACAGGCGCAGAAATGCGGCGGAGTGAAACATGTTTTTTGAGATCTGAACCCTCCCCCTATACCTCTAGCCAATATAGAAGAACAGACACACAACAATACGCACAGTTAAACTCAGTTCAAAAGAAGTCCGAGTCCGATGTCATAATAGGTAACAAAAGAAACTAAACAAAATGACAATGATACATAAATTAACAAAGGATTACTAGCAGTTACTGACATGCCAGCTCAAGACCTCAATTAAACTGATTGAAAGATTATGACTTCATCATATGGTTATCAAGTACAATCCTTCCCGTTAGAGGTTTAGTATTATACCATCATAAAATATATGAGAAGAACATAACCCGTATCATGCCAACAACTGGTTTTAGAATAAATGTGTTTATTTCCGAAGCCAAGACCCTATAAGTGAATCAATATTAAAGCAAAAATATGCAATCTTAAATGACCTGACAACAGTATCGTAACTATATCCCTTCTTGATAAGTCTGTTTAAAGGTTTTGTTACCTTTTAGGTGAATGCTGACATTTTTGTGCTTTGTAAAGAATAATACCATAAAAAATTGGATGTGAAATACCTGAACGTATAAGATGTCTGCATGTTGAATTATATTTACGAATGATGTCCTTGTACCGATGATAAAATTTAGTAAATGTTTTGACTAGTTTGTGATATCGAAAACCCTGGTGTAATCATTATTCAGTAATACACAAATTTCTCTCGCTAAAATCTAATACGTTGTTACATACACGATGGATTTGGTATTCCTTCCGTACCAGTACTAAGAACTAATATCAATGATAAAACGCATTATCGCTATTTTACGAAATTTTCCTTTGATCTTACTGACTGATAATTTCCTTTCTCAGCACAGTAGAGTGATGTGAAAAATTATCGCTAAAAAAAACTAAGGACGCACGTGTCATTTTTCATTGAAATAAATAACGTCGTCATAGGTAAATTGGCGATGAGCGGATTATCATTGGTCATCTCAACTCGATTGCTTTTCTCACTTTCGCCGTACCGGCTCAAGCGAGAAAATCAATCTCGTTAAGATGATCAACGATAATCTATAAATAAATGATCGTCATGCAATCGATAAAAAATAAAAAGAACACGTTAAAAACTGTACGACTCCGAAGCGCATTTCTGGATTTACCTTCCTCAGTAACGATCAAAAGCCAAATATTTGAAGGCCAATGGTTTATAAGAACTGTAATAGTTGATTACAAGTTAAAGATGATTGTTCAAAAGTGTACGTTCAATAATTTCATCTGCCGACATGATTGCAGATAATCAAAAGTCGTAAATAAAAAAAAAATCTAAAAACAAATATGAGGGAATACACTTGTATTGAACCATTGTATGCCTTAACGTACGGTAGTAAACATATACATACTCAACCCTAACATACTATTAGGCTTACTGCGAGTTGATCAGTTTTCACTGTTACTCCTAAATGATGGGCGTTTGGAATACAACAGAACTGTGTATGTTTTTATAATTCCTTTATTTAATTTCTGCATACCATAATCAGAGTTACAAAGAATATTGTTTGCAGTTAACTATCTGAGTTGATTAACATGGTTATTTGCACAGTGCCTTTAAAATACTTTGATAAAAGTTCGTCTAAATACTCGAGTTACGATCATCTTTTAAAAGTTACGACCATCTTGTATCGGTTGCGATCATCATCCAAAATACTATAGTTGACGTTACGACCATCACACATTGTAAGTTACAACCATCATACTCGAATTTCTGAATGACTAATTTACAAAAATTCGAATGATTTATGTATCAAATTTTATTTCAATATCAACGCACTCACGATTAGTGTGTATGAGACAAGCGGTTTGGATCAAATGGACCTTTTACTGCACGAAAATCGAACTAAAAAACTTACCTCTAGAGTTGTTTTCCATTTTTGGCTAACCGTAACTTTACGTTACGACCATCCACTTACCAACAGTGTTGTATAGCTTGCAATGTAAAAAAGGGTTTTTCTCATTGTTGAGTGCCGTATGTTGACGTATATTTTATAACATGTTCGTCATTTTGTCTATGGTGGATATCTATCTCATTGGTAATCAAACCATATCTTATTTTTTGTTATAAATATCTGACTGTCTAATTTTCTGGACCATGGCAAAAAATATTTTACTTAACTAAAACTATGGTTTCGTACATTCGCAAGCACTATACACGTACATTGATCCATGTTTAACTATATACCATTTGTTGTCAGAACATTATTAATACAAACATGTACATGAAGCTGTGATTATTGTTTTCTCAGATGTTAGAAAACGGATTTCGTTCCTGTTCATTGCCTTAAGGTCCTCCTAAATTTGTGTATTTTAATTTTGCTATTTAACTTTAAGGTTTTTTGTGTTGAATGCATGTTTTTGGAAGTCTTCTTTCTATTACAAATCCATGGTTAAATTATCTTTATTTTTATTTCTATCTTTAATGTCTTAATCTCTACTTTTTTTTACAGAAAAAACATGTACTGTCTTGTATGTTAACTAGCGGCGGTAGGTATGGACAAATATTGTATATAGACTGTGTATAGGAGTACTTTCTCTTATGTTAAAAATGTTTAGTCACAGGAGGGGATAAAAGATGGACGAAAGATACCAGAGAACAGTCAAACTCACAGATCGTAAACAAACTGACAACGCCATGGCCAAAAATAAAAAGACAAACAGACAAATAATAGTACAGAACGAGATAATCTTATCATTAAATATCTACATAAAAATTAACGATAAAATCTAAATTCTAGGCCTAGGAAATCATGAACACACTTGATGTCTACAATGCAGGGAGAAGCACAATTTTCGTCAGCAGTCCTCTAATTTTGTTAGAATATTGTC